TCTACTCTATTTTGGCATGCTTTTGTAAAAAAAAAAAAACAAAACAAAACAAAATAAAAACAACAACAAAAAACTACAAACAAACACATAACATGGTCAGTCCAGAAAACCTAAAATACAACATGGCTTACGGTTTGTCTCTGAAGAAAGTGGGCACTGGATATGTTTATTGCACATAAATAGAAGTGTAAATTCTTTCCAGGTTTACAAGACTCATGACACTTTGTGATCGCTTCTTGGCCTTCATTGCTCTTCTCCCTGCTCCTAGTTGGTCAGCTCCAGCCATGGTGGTCTTCTCCCTGCTCCCAATTGGTCTACTCTAGCAATGTGGTCTCCTCCCTGCTTCAGGAACAGCAGATCTGCTCCAGCATCTGACTTTGACCTTCATTCCTCCTTTCATGCTCTTCCCCAGTATATCTCAGCCCTCAGCCTTCTCTGAAAAACTCATAAAGCCACTTAGGCAGGCAGGCCCCCAGCACTCCGCACATATCTCATCTAGCTTTGTCTTTATTCCACAGTACCCACCGTCTTCAAACTGACTTATTTTACCAAGTCATGGTCCTTCTCACCGAGCCATGGCATGGCTCCGTCATGGCAGAGGTTTGATCTGCTCTATTCATGGCTCTTTCATCAGCCCACGGAGCGGTGCCTGCTAACTACTAAGTATTTATAAAATAAGAACAAAGAGAGCAAGTGAATGGATAGGGCAACATGTAATTCAACCATGATTTGTTTGTAGTCATTCTTGGCAGTTTGAAAATAAACAAGGAAAGCAATCTCTGCTCCCAGCAGCCTCCCGTGAGTGGAGGGTGCAGAAATCAGTATAATAACCAGGGCACAGTGCCCAGCAGGGCGAGGCCTATGGAGGTGGGGAAAGCATGCTATTATCAGGGCACCAGGAAGGAGACTGTGCCTTCAGCTGTGAAGATAAATATTGAATTGTATGTTTAAATAAGTATACTTTGAAAGTTCAAAGAGGAACATTCAAATCGGCTTCCTAATTAGAGCCTTAAATTCTCACTTGGAGTTACATAAATAACTTCTCAGGTGCAGCCTTTGGAGTGTGACTTTCCCCAGCTTCCTTGCCTCTGATTTCCTCTTTTCTCAAGCCTTGCCCCGAAGCAGGCTCTGCCGGAATCACAGCTTGGCCTTCCATTAAGCTAATGAGTGCTTGCTTTTCAAATTGAGCTGTCCGGTGCCACCTCCAAACCGTCTGACCACTCTGCTTAAATTAAAAGTAAAACGACAGTTTCTCATCTGTGATTTCTCTTAGTCTCATCTTCTAATGGGTGGAATGGGGTCAGAGGTGGGAATATGACATCTTCCTTGTTTGGATAGACTCAGGGGAACTCTTTAATATGCTTTTCATAAAATGCAGCCTATTATTGAAGTACTCCAAAGGCAAGCACATAGAGTGAAAATCAGAATCTGTCTTAATTCTGTTCACTGTGTGACCTCTGTGCAAACACACAATTGTGTTTCATTACAAAGATGTTTGCAAAAGTTGTTGTGTTACTTTGCTGCTGCAGTAAGAGAATGTTCTTCCAAACAGCTGCACCCCCACAGATACTGTCACATTTCATTTAAGGCCTTGGGTTTTAATGGAGGCATGGGTTGCCATTTTTTTGTCCGATGAGAATGATGAATGTTCTTCTAGAGTAACACAGCACACTCCCCTCCCTTCCCCTTCCTTCCCTTTCCCTTCCCTTCCTTCCCCCTCCCTCCCCTCCCCTTCCCTTCCTTCCCCTTCCCTCCCTTCCTTTCCCTCCCCCTCCCTCCTCTCCCCTCCCCCTCCCTCCCCTCCCCTCCCCTCCCCTTCCCTTCCCTTCCCTTCCCTTCCCTTCCCTTCCCTTCCCTCCCCTCCCCTCCCCTCCCCTCCCCTCCCCTCCCCTCCCCTTCCCTTCCCTTCCCTTCCCTTCCCTTCTATTTATGTGCAATAAACATATCCAGTGCCCACTTTCTTCAGAGACAAACCGTAAGCCATGTAGAAGAATGATGATGTTTACTTCCACGTGGGGGAACCTTTAAGGCAGAAGAATGATTTTTCTGAATTGCGTTTTTTCAGAACATTATCATCAGATGTTTAAAGAGAATATAGAGAGTAAGCAGAGAAGGAAAGCTCATCAGACAGCTGCTCTGTTACTGTAGAAGAAAGACGATGATGGCCCGGCCAAGGCTTACAGAAGTGGAAGCAGCAATGGTTGGCCAGTTCTAAGATCGCAAGCACGTGCTGCTTAACAAGCGCAGGGGCCGAGCAAGGCATTAGACGAAGTCATTGCAGGAACAACGCAGACTGACTGCACTTCCTCAAGTGAGGAAACCAAGAGTCACTAAGTGATGGGAACGTCTCATCTCCGCTGTATTCTTACAGAATCGCCATATGTGCAGCCCACAGAACACGTTGTATTTCTAACTTAGAGACAACAGACTGTACTGACAATGGGATACGGTAAAAAGAGAAGAAATGGAAGATAACAGGCAAAGCTCTGAGCTAGGGAGACAGTAAGAGTCGGAGACGAGGAAGACGAGAAGATGGAAGCCATACTGTATTGCCATTGTTTATAGATAGAGATTACTGACTTGCAAGCTTTGATCAATATTTTGGGAGTACATTTTGGAGTGTTAAAAATATTTTTGACTAAAGTCTTATAATGCTTATACTAATCTTGTGAGAAGGGCTGTTGTTTTCTTTACTCAGAGGGATAAAAATACAAAGAAATTTAGTAATCTTCTTTGATCCTCATGCTAATAATTTAAACAAGATTAGAAACTATAGCATAGTGACTGTAAAGGGTATTTAATATGGCTTCTTTCACTAAAACTGTTATTCAACTGAATTTTTAAAAACTAACTTACTATAGCTCTTTCTGTCTATCTCTCTGTCTCTCTCTGTCTCTCTGTCTCTCTGTCTCTGTCTCTGTCTCTCTGTCTTTCTCTGTCTCTCTCTCTCTCTCACACACACACACACACACACACTGAAAATATAGATATATATCGCCATCTAGTGGCAATTCTAACCTCAGTTTGCAGTGAAATACATATTTGATATTTGTCTAGAATATGTATAATGTATAAACTGAAGATGCTGTTATATACATATGGGATGAGAACAGAGATACAGGGATCTCAGAGAACAAACAAAAGTGCTTAAAGAGTAAATCAAAGACTTGGAAAGCTCACGTTATCTTCAACTTAAATAGTACATTTATTCTCTGCACATAATTGAAAGCTATTTCTTTTTCCGCATTTATTTATTCATGTATTTGCTTATTCTTTCATTTTATGGATTAATTTACATATTACATATGTTCTATTTATATGTTGTATACACAACACTGCCATATAGCTAAATGCTGAGTTTAAAAGTCTTTTGAGGCAATTCGTGTGTTGATAGACAGTGGAAAAATATACGCATATAAAGTTTTATCAAATACCCAGATGATTATAATATAATAAATTCAAAATTATTTGGGTGTCAAATAAGGAATCAACTGAGATTTAGTGGAAGGCTGGGGGGCCAGGAACCATTTCAAGTGTTATACCGCTGCATCACCTGCCTGAGCGTCCTTATCTCTTCCAAATGGCATATTCAGTTTGTCCATTTGCAATTGCATTTTCAATGCACTGCATCATATCTCATAGATCACAAGCCCCTCATTCAAATATATATGCTGTATTCACCATCTAGGCTCCCAGTCCCCTGCATAACCATTACAGAACAGACTACCTAGGCATGGTGGCACTCACCTGTAATCGTAGCATCCAGGAGGGTAGTGAATCCAAAGCCAACCTAGGCTATACAGCAAAACTGTTTAAAAAAACCATCCAGGCACTTTCTCTTATTTCTCACGTACACAGTGCACTACTTGCAGCTAATTATAGGATGGATGTAGTGAATCAAAATTCTTTTCGCATCCTCAAGGTCCATTCTGGAAGATAGCAGCAATAAACGGTGGTGATTTAGACCCTCACACTCTCCCATCTACTTTGTTCAGATCCCCATTTTTCCAGGAACATACCTCTGTGCACTTGAAAGCATGTTGGAATAAACAATACCTGAGTCTCCATATACATTTAGATTTCAAACCAACTTGATATTGACTTAAAGTTAGCTTGAGGACTTCATACGTACATTCTGCTTTACCCTGGCCAATGTCTTCACTGTCCTTCAAGTTTATGTCTTCTGATATCCTCTTAGCCTTGTAAATAAAGTCTGACTAGTTTGAATTTATTCTAATAGAGCTCATTATGCCTTAGTAATAGTGTGAAATACTAAATACAATTGCACAGTTTTCAATAGACCTAGATACACTTGACAGGTTTTAACAAAACATAATAAACTTTAAATATCTTTCAATTGTCCTGATAAACATTCAGAAATGGATTCTAGCAGTTTTTAATTTTTTGGTATATCAGAAAAACAGAAAGCAAAATCTAGCGTATTCATTTAATATTTTATACCTGCATTCCAAGATCTAGAACATAGAATTATTTTTCTCTTTAAGTATTTAATATTCAGTATCTTAAATAATGTGACTGTTATATGATTAAATCAATTTCTGTCAGCTTTTAGTTTATTAAATAACCAAGTACACCCTGCTAAAAGAGACTTCTATAACGAGGAAATAATTTTAGGATTGATGGTTCCATTAGTTCTATCCAAAAAACCAAAGACTCCAAGCTGAAATGTTGTCAGGTTCAATGTTTATTTTCACAAGTAAACAAAAAGAGGCATGTGGGTTGAGGAGGATAAAAAGAAGTAGCTGATGTGACTAAAATTTCCACATGCTCGGTCATTCATAGATGTGATTAAAGCAGTCATTTCACTGCAAATGCTTGAATCCATTGTCTGGTGTAACCCAAGGGTATATGTGTGTCAAAACCACACTTATCATCGGATGATATAGAAAGGACATCTTCATAGAAGATGCCTCACAGTCAAAGTTCTCGTGTGCATTTGGTGAGTGTTACAGTTTTTATGTTTAACTTTTTCTCCATAGGACCTGATTACAGATCTGAAGGAGCAACTTTCATCCCACTTCAAAGAAGTGATGGTGGGCCTGATGTACCCGCCACCATCTTACGACGCTCATGAACTCTGGCATGCCATGAAGGTAGTGACTGACCCAATAAGATATGTGCATCAGATGCAGGCTGATCCAATAATACACCTATGACAGGAACAGACTCAGATTTCAACAGAGAGACTTCCCTATGATGCTCCTGCAGTTTATATGATTGGGGAGGTAAAGAAGAATATTTAATATGTAACCATGGAAATACTTTGGTAAAAGAGGCTTTCTTAGAAAAGGGAGTCTCTGAGTCAAGAGGCTGGGACCAGCCTATTCTTTGGGTGTAGAGACTCAAACATAAATAGTCTCCAAGCTCAGTCGTCTCCAAGCTCAGCTCCAGCAGGAATGAGTAAGTTAGCCTTCCATGCTGCTCACAATGTCTTTCTTCTATATGTGTTCTCAAGTTGAAATTTAAAATCACAAGAATCTTCTAAAATTATTTATAAACATTTAACTCAGGAGCAAAGTAAAATACTGAATCAGAGACAAAATATCCATGACAATTTAAATTAAATACATATGGAAAGTATTGCTCGGATGCAATAAAATTTTACTTCTAAAGAATTAAGATCTTACAGAAAAGTCATTTTCATGAAATAAATTACAGGTTTGTTGCAGATTTTATTGTATGAGAACATGGGGACTGGGGGTCCTTTGACTTCTTTCAAATGCTGGCATTAAACTCCTGTAGACTGTTAAAAATCCTTCCATAATATGCTTGCCAAAGATCAGATCACCACAATGTGTGGCAGAGATGAGGCAAGAGACAAAAAATTAAAGATACATGGATTTTAGCCATAATATTTCCTGATCAGAATAGTGATTTTATAAAATCCAGAGGAATTCCAACCAATCACACTTTTTCAAAATTTCACATGCCAATCCCCCATTTCTTATGAAACTATGTGGAAGAAATCTGCAAGAATGAGGTCATATGTGACTGTTGAGAGGGAGCCAGCAAGCTTTCTCAGCACTTCACAAAATGGTAAGGAGTCCCAAGGACTTTCTGAAAGAGATGTGCTTCAAGACCTTCAAGACCCATGACCACAGATCAGTACCTTGGATGCTAAAAGATGCCACAGAACAAACACAGCCAGTTCCAATGTTGAGGCAATCTGAGCACAGTTCCATAGCCAGGGGAATGTAAGCACAGGTCACCAAGATGTACCTGATCAATTATGAGACCTGCATTCTAATTTCAAACTGCTTCGGAGCTGATATTCCAGCAGAACGTGGAGCTTCAAATTCTACTCCAGAGGAAAGTGTGTTTCCCATGCTGATTAGCAGTGCCCATACTGTTGTTCTAAGTAAAGGGACAAAATTCCTGCAGACAACATCATCTTTCCAGGCACAACAAACAGTGGAGAATTGACACAGACCAGATAGTGAGCTGACTTTGATCCTGAATGCACTTTCTTTCCCCTCCGCCCCCTCTAAGAATGCCATGAATGCTTTGTTCTTTTATTGTACAGAAAGTAGTCTATTGTTCTAAATAAAAGTGTCTTCATGTTTCTCTCTGACTTTTAGGGTGCAGGCACTGATGAGAATTGCCTCATTGAAATATTAGCTTCAAGAACAAGTGGGGAGATTTTCCAGATGCGAGAAGCCTACTGCTTACGTAAGGAAATACATAAATGCATATATTAGGTGCATGTACACCACATTTTTTAAGTAACATATAAAAGTATTCCATTTTATGTTCATTCCATTCTGATTTACTTATCTGTTGCTCTGATAAAACACAGACCAAAAGCAAGACCAAAAGAAAAGGGGCCATTATCTCTGATGGGAGTCAGTGGAGTAATTCAAACAGGAACCTTGAGGCAGGAATGGAAGCAGAGATTATGGATAAACACTGCTTACTGGCTTGATTCCCCTGCCTTCCTCAATAACCTATCTTGTCCAGCCCAGGCTTACCTGTGCAGAGAAGGCGCCATCCACATTAAGCTGTGCCCTCCTACTTCAATTAGCTGTCGAGAAAATTCCACTTTGACATCCTCACACACCAGTCTGAAGGAATCACTTCTTTAAATGAGGGTCCCTCTTCCCAGATATGTCAAGATAAAAACCAAGATTAGTCACGGCAGGTACTATGATGTTTGAAATATGACTCACTGGAGTAGAACGAGGTTTTTCTTGGAGCCCTGGAATAGGTGGGATGGAGGATAGGGAGGCTGATCAACTGGTACACTGTCATATATTGGAGAAATAAGTTCTAACAGCCTACTGAACAAGACAGTGAAGAACAATAATAATAATAATGTGTTTTAAACCTCAATGTAACCAACAGAGAGGAGTGGTTGTATCAAATAATAATAACTAGTGGGCAGGATTACACAGTGTGCTCATGGGTTGAAACATTATATTGTACCATATAAATATGTATAACAATTATATACCAATCAAAAGACTAAAATATGGAAGCCAATAAATACAATGAATACAACACACTCAAAACCAATTTCCTCTTTAAACAAAAATTATTATCATGCTGAAAATGAAACAATTCCCTAGGAAATCTAGCAAATTTTCCTTTAATTTTTAAATGTGTTTACAAATATCTATGGAGTGAATGCTTTAGTATGCCAGGAAGTGCCTAGCACCTCGAATTGGAGGTGTGTGATCCTTTACTCAGGAGATACCTTGAATATAACAAAACACAGCAAACAGTGACCATTGCTCACCAAATACATCTTTTTACTTTACCTAAATGTCACCATCCCAACAAGTTGCTTCAAAAATTAAACCTTTGCACGTTTTAAAATAAAAAAGATGATAATTTTTATATCAAAAATGTGTAATGCCTTGATTTCTGACCCAATGTGTATTGAGAACGTTGAGCATTCTGCACAGTCAACCTTCATGCTCTCAAGAAAATCAAGACTTTTCCAAGTGGAATAAAATAAGGACTTTTACTTGGAATATTAAAATGAGATGGAGGCACTTTGGAGAATGATTAGCCCAGCTCACAGTCTGCAGCATGGTATAAACAACCCTGACCTACAGAATGAGAGACTGTGAAGTGATTTCCAATGTTCTGTTTCAAAGTTGGCTCAAAATTATCTTTTCAGTAAAACAGACCGAGTTTGATGCTACCATTAGGATACAGGTGTCTTTGACATAGTTTATGATACCAAGAAAAAGCAAACTGACTAATGGCTTTCTCATCATTAACATTAAGAAGCATTAGCTATGTGAAGCCCATTGATATGGGGTTCTATAGTAAGACATGCTTTTAACGTGCATATTTTATTGCCCAGAATACAGCAATAACCTTCAAGAGGACATTTATTCAGAGACTTCGGGACACTTCAGAGATACTCTCATGAACTTGGTTCAGGTATGACACTGAAAACCATAACACTTTACACTCTTTAAAACATAGACACATTTCATTCTCACAAAACATGACAGACAGTCCAGTATATTACAGTTCACCCATACATCCTATGTAATAACATTTACCATCAGCCAAGTACAAGTCACTTAATCTAAAACTTGACTTCCACATGTTATAAGCATGAATGTGTACCAGTTATGCCTTAAAACATTAAATCTACTGTATTTCAAATTATTATAAACACATATACACACATAAATGATTATTTAGAAAACTTAAGACTTTACTTTTTAATTTATAACTTAAATTAGAAATCTACTTGAGCTTTGATTTTTTTGCAACTAAAAAATTTATGTGTATGGGTGTTTTGTCTACATGTATATCTGTGCACCACATGTACGCCTGGTGCCAACAGGTGCCAGAAGAAGTCATAGGAGTCCCTGAAACTGAGGTTTCAGTGGTTATGAGCCACCATGTGGATGCTGGGAACTCAATCCAAGTCTTTAGGAAGAACAACCAGTGCCCTTAACAACTAAACTATCTATCCAACCTGTATTCCACATTTTTTAACTAGTAGTTGGGTTGGAGACATACTAAATTTCCTGGGCTGACACTCTGTACTTAGTGTTATGTGGTAAGTGAATTAATTTCTCATCTAATATAACAAAATAGTATGATACAAACTATTATTAGAAGTACTTCACAAATAAAGAAGCAAAGAATCAAAAAAAGTAAGGTATGGGAGTTGAGATATACATAGTTTAGCAACAAAGTGCTTTCCTAGCCTGAGCAAGCACCTAGGTTTGATGTCCAGCACCACAAAAATGCACGTGTGTGTGTGTGTGTGTGTGTGTGTGTGTGTGTGTGTGTGTGTGCATGTGTGTGTATGTACTGATTGTCCAAGAAGTCAGTACATTGAAATGCAAAATTGAATTTGCTACTATTGTATTTTACTGTAAGCAAAAGATCTCAATATAATCTGTATAAATTCCATTATACTATACATTACCAAAGAGGAACCTTACTTCTAATTAAAATTATATTTTGTCATTTATCTTCTTTTCTATAATGACTAAATGGTATGTAATTATTTCGATCCAATTAGCATTTCTCAAAAACATTCCACATTTTAATTGTAATAACAGTGTTATTTTAAAGTATAATTTCCTTTTAGTTAATGTCTGCTTTTGAATGTTCTAGTCATCCTATCAAGGAAAGGTGTTCAGGAATTCAAGTGGAGTCAGTGTTCAGCACTTAAATAGTAAAAGAAATTGCGAAACCTCACATGTTCAGAAAACGTCTTGAAGGCTGTGGGCTTTTCTTTCATTTTATGAAGTATGTGTTATGGTGAGAATGCTTTGGTATGTATGCTGTGTTGTGTGTGTTCTGGGGTGTGTGGGGTGTGTGTGTGTGTGTGTGTGTGTGTGTGTGTGTGTGTGTGTGTGTGTGTATGTGTGTGTTTTATGGTGTGTGTCTAAAGTAAAGTAATCATTTCTAAATCTACAAACTTTTCCTTTATAAATCAAACCATATCTCAATAATTAGCAAAACAAATTTGTTAACCATAGAAACAAAAAAATGCACTAAAAGTTATAGAATTCCATACATAATAGTGTGAAATGGAGAAAATAATCCACCGCCTTTGAAGAAGGAAGTGTAAAGGAGTGCCCTTTACAATCAAGTAAGGAGGGGAGTACAGGGGACACACGTTCTTGTTGTTTAATTTTTTTTATATATTTTGAGATTAATATAAATGCAACATTTCCACTTTCCCTTTCTCCCCTCTAAGTCCTCCAATATACCCTCCTTGTTTGTATTTGGAGTCATGGCCTCTTTCTCACTAATATTTGGGGTGTGTGTGTGTGTGTGTGTGTGTGTGTGTGTGTGTGTGTGTGTGTGTGGAGTTCCTAAATATACAACCTGCTCAGAATGGGGCTGGAGAACTACGGAAGAACACACCAACTGGCTACCCAGACCCACACTCTTTCTGTAGAATCACTAGATGAAAATGCAGTATACTTCACATATTCTTTCTCTTATCTGTGAAGCTCTTTTGTTGATTACTGTGCCCTTCCTAGATTTTTTTTAGTTAAAATTTATTTATGGGGTAGCACACGCATACCACGGTACCAGTATGAAGGTCAGAGTAAAACCTGTGGGAGCTGGTTATCTCCTTCCACCATGTCGGTCCCCGGAGACACTTCACCAGCTCCCTGAATTGTTTTTAACCTGCACATTTCTGGGGCTGTTTTCCCCTTGCCCTTTATTACTCTTGGCTTCCTGTGGGCTGCCATGGAGTCAACCCTCCTTGAAAGTTCAGTTTTGGCAAACTTACAAGGGCCAATAGCTTACTCAAAACTGCATAGCCAGCTTTATTTGAGCACAGGTTTCTGAAGTCTTTGAAAATTAATAATCCTGAAAACTTGGAAGAATGACAACCTACCCGCTCACAGTTAGATTCATGCACAATTACCCACACACCAAACTTTTTCAGATGTATGATTTAAGTGACTTATTTTGTGCATTCTTGCATCCTCATTATGTCTCTTTATTTCACAGCTGCAAGGCTCTCAAACAATAAAATGAACCTGTTATTACTGCAAGGCCAAGTTATACTACATCTTCCCTTTCAAGTTTTCAACTCTCAAGTCACACAGTTGGGCATCTACAAGGATTTTCCCCTTCCAACACTTAAAAGAATCAGATTTTTAAACTTTCTCTCTCCTCTTTAACTTCTGTTTGCAAAACAACTAATTCCTTACTGAGTTCAGTTCCTGCTTCGAACACATGCTTAAAAGCAAAGGACCAATTCCATTTCTCAGGGCCACATGAAGACCAGGACAGCTGCTTCTGATGAAAGCCTCTCCCCCACAGGCTCAGTCCTTCTTTTTAGCTACACGTTCACTGTTCATTAAATCACTCCAGAATCAACAATATGGCAGAGGGTTGTTTGTGGGAGATTCAGGGCTTTGTTATAGTGGGTATAATTTTCCCCTCAAATTTCATTGGTTAAATCTAGGTCAAGCCAGCCCTATTTAGTATTGAGAGTGGCTGAACATGTTATCCTATTGGTTCTGTCTTTTAGGAGGTTAAAAAAAGCTTGGTGATCATATACAGTGAGCATAAAAATTGAAAACATATCCAATTTTCTATTACTCCTCCTTCTCCTCATTATTGTTGTTGTGTGTGAGATGAAGGGCACATGCGCCATGGAACTTGTATGGAGGTCAAAGGACAACTTTGTGTCGTTATTTCTCTCCTTCCACCTTTACTTGGGTTCCAGGTACTGAATTCAGGACATCAGGCCTGCAGGGCAAGTGCTTTTACCCACTGAGCAATCCTTGGACCCCTCTTGTCCACTTCCATGGCAAATATATTCCATTAATTTGTTTTACAACCTCTATTCCTGAAGACCACTTTTTCGATCTCATGTTTCCCTTTCTAGCTTCATGTCACATACCATTCTCTCTCTCTCTCTCTCTCTCTCTCTCTCTCTCTCTCTCCCTCTCTCTCCCTCTCCCTCTCTCTCCCTCTCTCTCTCTCTCTCTCTCTCTCCTCTCTCTCTCTCTCTCTCTCTCTCTCTCTCTCACACACACACACACACACACACACACACACACACACACACAGCTGGTTTTATTAATTTTGCTGGTTAGTTTGGTTTTGCGAGCAAAAATTTTAGCACTAAGAATCATTTCTACCTTGATCTATATGCCAAAAGTAGCCCAAGTGAAAACTGGCTTTTATGAATTCATTGCTCCTTCGAAACAATGACAATGTGCAAGTTTTTATTCATGGTGGGTTTTGTTTTCTTTTAATTACCTCTTTTACTTTTGAGATTATGACGTCATCATTTCCCCTTTTCCTTCCTCCCTCCAAGCCCTTCCCTATACCCCTCCTCACTCTTTCAAATCCGCGACCTCTTTTTTCATTAGTTGTTGTTACCTGTTTCTGTGTGTATGTGTATGTACATGTTCATACACACACATCCCTCAATATAACCTGCTGTGTCTGTAAACTGCAACTTCATCTTCTCCCTTCTCTCCCACTGGTGTGCAGCTCTACAACTCCATGGATGTATTAGAATGCCCAAATCAGCAGATGTGGTTTCCTTTAGTGAACGTTTATTATAATTAAACTTCATACTGTACTTTCTACAGATTTTATATTGTTCAATTAAAGGCTGAATAAATATAGAATACATACATAAGAAAAAAATCAGTAATTCTATTCATTTATACTCAGCAAGGATCTTGACTTTTTGATATCCCTTTTTGTGGGCACGTTTTCTTCTAAGTTATTGTCAATTTCCAGTTCAGAATAGAGACAGTTTGAGAAAGGGCGACAGCAGAAGTTAATGAAAAACAAAGTATAATGATGCATATGCATGAATATGCCATGATGATTTCATTCCTCCATATCCTGACCTAAAATGTTTCACTGAAAAAGGCATGAAAATGGAGAAACACTTTTTTTGTAGACTGATAAAGAAGCCAAATATTAGTAACTTAACACTGAGGAAGACTGTTGGTGACCAATTCGAGTCTTTTAAATTTCTCAGTTTAAAAAAGTGAGGCATATTGTCCAGCCTCAATACGAGGGCTTTTGCCTTGTCTTGCTGTGTCCTGTTTTGTTCGGTTTGGCTGTCTTCTCTTGGAGGCCTGTTCTTTTCTGAAGAGGAAATGGAGGAGGAGTGGATCTGGGAGAAAAGGAGGGTGGAGGGTGCGGGGGTAGGGGGAACTGTGGTCGCGATGTATTGTAGGAGAGAAGAATCTATTTCAATAAAAGAAAAATTAAATGTTTTTAAAAGTGAGGCATATTACCAAGCAACTCTATTGACTCATTAGTTAAACTAAATTTTTCATTTTATATAAGATTATTGTAACCAAAATCAAGAACTTGTTTTATCAAGCTTGGTGTTTGTTTGGCTGGGTTTGGTTTGGAGTGCTTGTTGTGAGTACACAACATGAAGCTGCCCCTTTTGATTTCTACACTTAGTG